CGGAAGATGAGGGACCTGGCCGACCTCAGTGCGGTACAGACCATGGGGAGAGGTGGCCGGAAAAGCTTCCTGTGGGAGAAGGGGTTCCTGTACCGAGAATGGGCTCGGCTCCCCCAGGGAAAATGGAGTCAGGGGAGATCAGGAGGCAGCTGGTGGTACCCCAGAAGTATCGCCGCCAGCTGCTGTACCGGGCCCATGACATTCCCCTCTCAGGGCACCAGGGAACCTGGCGTACCCAGCAGAGGCTGCTATGGAGCTTTTACTGGCCTGGGGTCTTTGTTACTGTCCGACAGTACTGCCGATCCTGTGACCCCTGTCAGAGGGGGAGGAAGGCCCGGGACAAGGGGAAAATGGCTTTAGGACCCTTGCCCAGCATAAAGGAGCCTGCCCAGAGGGTGGCCAAGGTTCAAAGGGGGGCTCTGAACCAAGAGAGCCCGAATCACAGACCTCCAGACTGGAACGCTGGGAGAAGACCCCAGCCCAGTTGGAACCCCAGGGGTATTGGGGTGGGAAAAGGGCACAGGCCGCATAAACCTTCCCGCATGCGAACTGCAAGTGCCATCGAGCAACCCCGACCTAAGGGGGGGCGTGAAACTGGAGGGGCCTGGTGTAATTCTCACCAAGGAATGGGAGGGATGCTGGGGCATCCATGGGAACGGGGGTAGGTTCAAACTTCCCCGGGTCACTGGCTAAAGTGACCCCGCTTAGTTCGGTCTTGAAGGGGGGAGAGATGTGATGAACTGGGACTGTTCTTACTGTGGGCTTTGAATGCTGACAGGGGAGTGTGGCTAGGATAGTCTGCATTGGGGGATGGGAGACTGACCGACGGAGAATACCTGAGCATGTAACATGAGAACCCAGGAAGGGGTTAGAGGCCAGGTGACACCTTTGCCCGGGAAACTGAACAAAGGCTGTGGGAGGGGTCGCTGAAGGGAGAGTTTTGGGAGCTGGCTGGTGAGATGGCTGGGAGGCAGACGGGGCTCTGACCTCCCAAGGGAGCTGGGGTGCCCGGGGACCCCAAAATGGACCTAACTAAGGGGGGTCCTGTTGTCTGTGCCTGCAAGACCTGTCTTGGACTGTATTCCTGTCGTCTAAATAAACCTTCTGCTTTACTGGCTGGCTGAGAGTCGTGGTGAATCGCAGGAAGCCGGGGGTGCAGGGCCTTGTGTCCCCCCACACTCGGTGACACAAGGCAGCTGCCCCCCAGGGACCAGCCTGGCCCAGGCGATTAGAGCAGCTCAGGAGAATAAAGTCGAGCCTGGGGGGCAGGAAAATGGCTCCTGAAGCCAACTGCCCCCAGCATGCAGAGCCAGCCCTGCCTCCCCACCAGCCGCAGGGGGCGTGGACGGGGTCGTGTGCCCTGGGGCCGGGGCAGAAAGGGGCTCTGTCTGGCAGGGGGCGTGGACGGGGCCGTGTGCCCTGGGGCCGGGGCAGGAAGGGGCTCTGTCTGGCAGGGGGCGTGGACGGGGCCGCGTGCCCTGGGGCCGGGGCAGGAAGGGGCTCTGTC